TTTTGGGGTGGTCTTTTAAGGAGATAAAGAAAAGGCTTCTCTTTTTTTCTTCTTTCTGTCAGGAAACTCACCTACACTTATGTGCTCTGCCTAACAAAGGAATTTCCCGATTTCAGGTTTCATAATGGAATTTGGAGGGAAAGTGATGTGCAGACTGATATCTGTGTGTAGACACAAAACAGCAAACCATTAATGGAGGAACAGAGGGAGGAGGAGGGAGGGAGGAAGGGAGGGAGAGAGAGAGGAGAGGACAAAGACAAAGACAGATACACACACACACACACACACACACACACACAGGGATTTCACAATTCACCAGGCAGAGGAAAAATGAACACAGTGAGAGTTAGCAATAAAAACAGCAACAACACAATCCCAAAGGACATAGAATTCCTTTAGTTTCTATTTGGCATGAGAATAATATGATTTCTTTGTTCTGCTTTTTCTTATCTACAAGCTCTCAAATAGTTTATTTCTTTTTATTTTTCCTTTTGCAGTTACTTCTGTTTCTGCCCAAAGCAGAGTGGTGCCTGAGGTAGTGTTCCTTACATATGTGGAATAACAGAAAGAACCTTTGTATTGATTTTTTTTGGATGAAGGGCAATCACTTAAAAAAAGAAAAAAAAACCCAAACCACAAAACACCAAAACCAAAATACTTAACACCCAAAACTGTTTTTCAGCTGTGAAATGCAGTGATTTTCGTATACTGGACAGAGAGATGCTTGGCTTTTAACTATAGATCTCCCAGGGAAGGGAGTTCCTCTGAAATCCTTTCTAAAGACAGACCAGAGATCATTTGCAAGAAGGTGCTGCCTTTCACCTTGAGTTGTCTATAAATTTTAGGTGGTTTTCCTTTTAATTTTTGCTTGTGTTGCTGGGGATCGAACCCAGGTCTCAGACTGCCAAGGAAGGGGCTTTACAAACCCCGAGCCTCCCGGGGAGGCCCTATTGATGGATTTTTAAAAGTATAGACGCCATGTTAGCTGTTGCCATTTGTACAAATGACGAATTGTGCTTTTAGGCTAATTTCTTCCAGCTTGGCCAAGCACCGGGTTTAGCAGAGAGGCCTAGTCACAAAGGCCCTGGCCTTGATGAAGCGGAGTCGGACTGCTGCAACCCGACCCTGATGATAAGCGAGCCAGGCCGGGGTTTGGGTCTGGGATTCTTGCAACTATTCAAGCTCGGCCGAGCTGTGCATTCAGGGGAAGCGCTTGGGGGAAGGGCCGGGAAGATTCGGAATCAACAAAGATTCCAAACCCGGAAGCCCGGGGCTCACTGTTCCCTGCGCCTGATGGAATTCCGTGTATTAGGACGTGTTCGGCCTCTCAAAGATTTCCCATTAGCAGCTCCTGGTTTATTTCTCCAGGCGCTGTGATGTTTTTTTTTACACGCATATTAATGAAGGCCCACCTCCGGGAGAAGGAGGGGGGGGGAAGGCCTCCTTTCCAATGAAATCAAGTCCAGGTCAAGTTAAAACGCAACCCACGGCTACCGGCAACTGCTGGCAGGCTCAGAGCCGGGGGAAGAGTTTCAATTTCATCATCTCCTAGCCCTGATGGCTGTAATGACGTTGCCGGCGAAAGGTGGCAGAGAGAGTGGCCGGTCTCTCTCTGAACACGTGGACCGGTGTCCCCTTTTAGGGGCAACTCCCCAGGACCTGCGGTTGGCAAGACCAACCCTCTGGGGGGTGGGGGTGGGGGTCATTTGCATGAAAAATCTGCCAGGGCCAAAAAAAAATGTAGTTCCGATTTACATCACACAGTGTCCCTTCAGCGAGAACAATGGCATCGGCGAGGGGAGGGAAGGCGAAGCCGCGGCGGCGGGCAGGGACCCGAGCTGCAACGTGGTGGCCGCGCGCGCCTTTGCAAACGCCAGGCGGTTTCCAGCCGACTGGGAATGAAGCGGCGAGTGTGGAGCTGCTTCCTCCAAGCCCTGTCTGTGCGCCCCCCCACCCCCCCACCCCCGAGGGCTTTCCCGGGTCCTGGGGACATTGTCCCAACTCTTTCCACTTTGCCCTGTTTCCAGGGTAAGCGCGATTAGCTGGCCGCGGGGGGGGGGGGGATGGGGTGGGGTCTCTTCTATTTCCTTTACAAAAAAAATCTTCCGGGGAGCCCCCCAGGGTCTGGGAACCCCGGGGGTGTATGTGTGTGTGTGTGTGGGGGGGGGTGGCTGTCAGCAGGACCCGCAGGGCTGGACAAACAGCATACCTGACCCGGGGGCAATGTATTGGCTTCCTCTGTAGGCTTTAAGGCTCGTCTACCTCGGTGGCCCTGAGCGGTTTCTAGATGTATCTTTTTTGTTTTGCGTTCAGCCCGCGGTGCCCACCTGCTTTGACGCACCCTGAGTGCTGGTTACAGTTGCACACCCTTCTTGGGATTTCAAAGACCAGCTATTACATCTCGTTGACTTAGTATCATCGCCCCCCACCCCCGCCATGAAAAACCAAAAAATAAAAAACCCAAAAAACAAAACCAACCCTGCAAGTATGAACCGCACACGCCAGGTTTCAATCTGGCCCTAGTGGCTTTCCCCCCCATCCCCCGCTCTGGGAAGCAAAAAAATAAATAAAAATAAAAAATAGAAAATAAAAACACAACACACACACAAAACCAAAGGGGGGGAGAAAAAAAAAAGTGTGTCTTTTCCACCAGGGCTTTCTCCCCACCCCAGGGGGTGTCTTCCATTCTTTTGTGGCTCGGTTTAAGGCGAAAAGGGCTCCAAACCACTAACTCCCCCGAAGGGAGTCCCCTTCCCGCGGCTCCCGGGAGCGCTTCACGTTGCAAGGGGCTGCGGACAGCGTGCTCCTGCCTGGCTGCTCGGCCACCATTACGACCATCACCGGCCACCACGTTGCCTGCAGGCTCCCGGGGCGGTGCGCGGGGCTCTCCAAAGCATCCCGGGCGAGGCCTTCTTCCTTGCTTCCTTCCAAACTCGAGTAAGTCGCGGCTTGGGGGCCCCGGGCCAGGACAGGGGTGAGCGCCCGAAAGGTGGTTTGCAAAGAAAGAGAAGAAGAAGAAGAAGAAGAAAAAAAGCCAGCGAGAAAAGAAGGGGGAAAAAAAAAAAAAGAGCCAGAGCCAGAGCCCGAGCCAGCCTGCAGCCCCCGCCTGGCCCGGGCCTCCCCGCGGTGTCCGGGGCGCGGCGGCGCCGGCGGCGTTGGCGGCGGTGGCCGGGCCGGGGTGAGTGCGGGGCTGCGGGGCTCGGCGCCGCCCCCTCCCCCTCCGCCGCGCTCCCTTTTGTTCGCGCTCGGCTCGGGCCGCCGCCGCCGCCGCGCCGCCCGCCCGGGCCCCGCGGCCCCAGCCTAGGCCCCGGCGTGCGGCCTAGAGGCGGCGGCGGCGGCGGCCCCGCACACGCCCGGCCGCCGCGCCCGGACCCTGGACGCCGCCGCCGCCGCGCGCCGCCGAGGTCATCCGAGCCGCGGCCCGGGCGCCCCGGGCTGGACGGCCGCGCGGGCCGGGTCCAGCCCGGGGCGGGGGGGCGCGCGCGGGGCCGGCCGGGCGGGGGGGGCGGGGGGCGCGGCGCTGGGGGCGGCCGGGTCCCCCCCAACCCCACCCCGCGTGCCCGCCCCACGCGCGCGCGCGCGCGCCCGGGGATGCCGGGCCCTGGGCCTGGGCGGTCGGGGCCTGGCGCGGCCCGGCCCGGGGGTGCGCGCGCCCTGGCGCCCCGGGGTGGGGAACGGGGTGCGGGGGGCTGCCCCCGAGGCGGCCGGGCCAAGCCCCGCAGGTTCCGAGCTGGCTGGGGGGGGCCCACGTGAGCGCCGCCGCCCGCCCCTGCGCGCGGGCCGCGCACCCAGGCGGCTGCAAAAGGCCCCGAGCGCCCCTCTGGCGCGCTGCCCCTGCGTCTGGGTCCCCCCCCACCCCCGCCCCCCACCCGCCGCCCGCCCTGGGTTTCTTCCCCGAGGTGAAGGGATTCGGACTTCTCCCCCCCAGGTGCTTGAAAGAAGAGAAGGTTGGAGGAGGAGGAGGAGGAGGAGGCCGGGGGGGCCCCGCTGCTGCTGCTGCTGCTGCTCCCGCTGCTGTTGCTGCTGCTGCTGCTGCTGCTGTTGCTGCTGCTGCTGCTGCTGCTGGGAGCGAGGAGAGGGACGCGGGGAGGGGGCTGGGTGGGGTGGGGGTGACAGACAGCGAGGAGCCTGGTCAAGCCACCAGCGCTCGGCTCAGGAGGCCAGGCCGGCTCCCGCACAGCCGGCACATCCCCACCTAGATTGCTTTCTTGGGGGCTCTTTGTCAGCCACCAGCCCAGGGAACACACACTCACACACGTACACACAAAAGATCTGGGAGCCAGGTTGTGGGAGGTAAGTGGGGGAAGGCACAGGAGGGGAGAGCAGTGTCTGCGGGGGGGCTTGGCGCGGGTGGAGGGCAGGCTGGGGGGGGGTTGGGCCCTGCTGGGCTCTGGGGTGCTGCTAGGGTGAGCCTCTCTCCCAGTCTGGGCCGGTGTGTGTGTGTGTGTGTGTGTGTGCGCGCGCGTGTGCATGTGTGTGTGGGGTGTGCGTGTGTGCGTGTGTGAGAGTGGGGTGGCAGGGGCTGTGGGGGCCCATCATGACCTTCCCCTCTGCACCGAGGCCTGGAAGGAAGGGAAAGGACACCCCCCACCCCCCCAGCGAGATTCACCCCCGGTGCTGCTGATTTTCAGGGACTTGTTGGCAACTTCGCGAGGGTTGCCATAGCTTTTTTATGTAGGGTGACCAGAACCGGCTGAAACTGGTTTGAGGCAGATCAGCTCCTGAACACAATGCAGTCCCTGAGAGTTCCTACAGTGGGATAGCAGCTTCCTCCCTTCATGGCAGCCAAAAGCAGAGGCGCTTGCAGGAAGGTGCACCCCAACACGTTATGTGAATGCACACTTAGACACCACACGCCTCTGTGTGCGACTCACCCAGCCCTCCACGAGTCTGTGTAGAGAAGATGGGGGAGAAATGTGCAGGTTTGCAAGGTCTGAGCTTCCTTGGGCTTTTCCTGCCTGTTTTCTTCTTCTTTTTTTTTCTTTTCCTTTCCTTTTTCCTTTTTCTTTTGCTGAAGGGATGGACAAGGAGCTGAGATTTATGGCCCTTATTAAAGGAGAAAATGTGCCTTATAGGGTGGGGACACTTGGTTTGTACAGTCTCTCTCTCTCTCTCTCTCTCTCTCTCTCTCTGTGGTTTGGACAGAACCAAACCAAACCGAACTGATGGATTTGTAATGGGAGTTTGTGGGTTGCTGGCGAATGCTACTTTGCATGCTTTTTCTTCTCTTGCAGGCTATGTTGTGCTTTGTGCTTTTCTTTTTAGAAGCTACTAAAGGGTGTTGGGGGGCACTACTGACTCTGACGAAGGCCAAAAGGTAACAGTATTGTTCTAGGAAAGGAGCAGGAATGCTTGCCAGTGATGCTTTCAGCATACATGCCGTCTTTTTTTTTTTTTTTTCCTTGTAGGCCTGTGGACTGGGGCTGCTTTTAACCCTTTCAGATTTGCAGAGAATGCAGCCGTGTGGCCGTAACTGAACATTGGTCCCAAGCCCTCCCCAAGGGTCAAGGTTCACAAGGTGAGATTTGATCTTTTGAGCATGAATTTCAATCTGTATTTTGAAGTCCCTCTCTCAGCCCCCCAAGCCTGGCAGTGGATGGGCACCCTGGCCAGAACGCTGGGTTCAACTGGAGAAGAAATACTCCGAGTGCTGCCCAAGTGGAATTGGGATCCGAGGGACTCTGCTGGCATTGCCAGCCAGGCGAGCCGAGAGAGGCTTCATGGAATCGCCCAGTGTCAGGCGCTCAGAGGGAGTCAGGCCTGGAGAGAAGCAGGTTTTGAGCCTGGGAGGCGGCTGGGCCTGGTTTTGCATAAGACTAAAGCAGCATCCTCAGCCTTTTCCCCAGGATTCCCGGAAGAGGGAAGGGAAGCCCTTCGCCAGCGCCGGGCCTCCTGGTTAGGAGGGAACTGAGGAGGAGCCTGAAGGTACCTTTGCCTTTTGTTCCTTCACCCCCTCGTCCTTTTATTTCCCCCCTCGCCCCGGGCTCTCTCTCTGAGCCTGAAAGGTTTTCCCCCCTCCGAGTCAGGCGGTGGGATGGCTCTATTGATTTGGGGGGCTGCTGATGGAGAGGTCGCCATTGGATTATTTGTGGCATGCCGTTGACTGTGGTGCAAGGGAGGCCGTACCAGGAGGAAACCGGGGCGCCTGGCTTCATTTGTGAAAAGATGCCTGTTAGGCGAGGCCGGCCAGCGGAGCTGGGCTCTAACTCGGCCGCCCCAGGAGCAGAGGGGAGCAGGCGGTGAGGAGAAGAACAAAAGCAACTGGGGGCTCCCAGGAACCTGTCGCCTTGGGGGTCCTGGCAAGAAGAGCCGTAGCATCCCCAAACAGGAAGCCAGCAGCCCCAGGATGGGATCTAGCGGCGATGGCCATGGCAGAGAGAACCAGTTCTGGCCTGGTGGCAGGGACTGGGTGGCCGGATGTGCCCAGAGGAGGCAGGGTGGAAAATAGATCTCTTTCCTCCTGCTCGGGAGGGTTATTTTATTTTTTTTTGGGGGGGGGTTCCTCTTTGAGTTGAGCAGAGGAGACTTTTCAGAAATGCCTTTAGAATTGTGGGGGAGCTGTGGGCTGGCAGAAGGTTCAGGGAAGGGTTGTCAAGTCCAACGGGTTTTTTTTTTTGTAATTAATTGTTGGAAAAAATCCCCCCTCCCCCCATGGCAGAGTATCAGCGTGTGATCAGACTGGCAGAGGGAAGTCAGGGCGCCTGGCTAGCTCAGAAGACTGCAGTATTTAATAGAGATAAATGGCATCTCGAGCGATAGACGACCCCCCCCCCCCCAATGGCTTACACGACGGAAGAAAATTCTTTACAAGTCAGCGTGCTAAAATTGGTCTCCAAGTCGACATGATTTCTGACTGCCAGGGGTTCGGTGTGTGAGGGTGGCAGGAATCTGCCTGCAAAGCAGAGCCTGGCCACGCTGTGGGAGCGGCCGCTCCGGCTTTTCTGGTGCCAACGAAAACTCAGATGGCAGCGCTGATAAACCTTCATTAGCTTAATACAATAAGCTGCCTTAGAAAGGAGTCCCCTCACTGCTGTCTGCGGAAAGTCAGTGATTTTTATTTCACTTTGACAGCCCAGCCCTGGCAGTGACTCTTCCTTGATCATAATGCCTAAAGAAATCTCTCTCTCTCTCTCTCTCTCTCTCTCTTTCTCTCTCTCTTTCTGGTCAGGCAGTGCATGTTACAGAATGTTCTGGTTTTCTCTCCCTGTGGTTTCCAGCTTTGTTCCTCCCCCCCTCCCCCCTACCTTCCCCTTCTCTAGGCCCCTGGAAAATGGCATTTGTTTTGCTTTGAGGCCTGTCTCTCCCCGGATCCCCCCCTCCCGGATCCCCCCCTCCTGGGGAGCTGGGAGGGCTGGTTCTCTGGGGCAGGTATCTGGGCCCCTCTCTCGGCCTGGGGTTTGTCTGAGGTGGCGATCTCCTGCCGGGGAGAACAATGCAGCAGGCCCAGGTCTGGCTGGAGCCCGAGGCACGCCGCCTGGGTGAGGCGCTGGGAACGGCAGGCCGGCAGGCCAGGCGGGAGGAGGCACCGCCCCTGGACTGCAGCTCTCCACCCGCCTGAGTGGCACCTCCCTGGCCCCGGGGCCTGTGTCACCTCAGCCCTGGCCTGGGCCCTACCTGGAGCCCGTGGGGCTGGGCTGAGGGAGGTGGGGGTCGCCCCTTCAGGTTTCCAAGGAGATGGAAGGGCCGCCCCCTCCCCTCCTGGGAGGAATGTGTGGGTTTGGCTGCAGAGTAGGGGCAGGAAGGGCCTGGTCCCTGGCCCGGCTGCCTGCCCCGGCTGCCTGCGGGGACTCTTTGTTTGCCACCAAGGAACACCCAGGGCTCCGAGGGTCTGGGGCCCCACGTGCTCGCAGGCCAGGCCGAGGCCCAGGCTCCCCTAGCCCCGCGAGGGCCTCACAAAGGGCTCCCCGCCCCCTCCCTCGCCTCCCTGGAAATGCTTCCTGGGGCTCCCGGCTGCCCTGACCTGCAGGCACTGCTCTGTGTGTGTGTGTGTGTGTGTGTGTGTGTGTGTGTGTGTGTGTGTCTGTTGGGCAATGGCTCCCTCCCACCCAGTTCCCATGGTCCAGACGGTTCCCTCGCCCCATCTCTGGGTTCTGCCTGTGAACTGTCACCGAGTTGTGGTAGGATAACTGACCCGTTTCTGACATCTGGGTTGAACTGCGGTCAAATTCACTCTGGAGCAGCTCGGTTCTGTGGGGCCAAACAAGAGTCAAGAGTGGGACCCCCACCTCCATCGGCCGTCCTGCTCTCTCCCAAGTCAGAGTCCCCCTCCTCCCTCTCTCTCTCTCTCTCTCTCTCTCTGCCCCAGCCCCTAAGCTGCTGATGGTGGTGTCCCTGCCTTTGTTCGCTTCCGGAAGGTCACGCAGATGGCCTCAGTGCCCTTAGCCAGAGACACTTGCCATGTCAGCTCCATCCTTTGTCTCTGCCTGTATGGATGTACCGCAGCGTGGACCCCGCACCCAGCCGATGACCTTGATGGGGAGGGCGGGGCAGGGAGCTGGTTCCAGTCGTAGGTAATCAAGACTATGGTTGCACTCCATTTTTTTTTCCCCGGTTTTGGTTTTGGGGCTACACTTGGTGTTCTCAGGGCTGGCTCTGTGCTCATGGATCACTCTTGGTGGGGCTGAGCGTGCGTGGGTGGGGGACACCCTGGGTAGGGCCGAGGATCGATCCCAGGTCAGCCACACAAGGCAAGCGCCCTGTGTGGCTGTTGATGCCGAACGCACACCACGGGTTTTGTCTGAACACCCTGCCCTGTCCCTTCGCTCCATCTTTGGCGGTTCCTAGCTGCCTAGGAATATAGACAATATAGACGTTTGGAATGAGAATAAACGGGGCTTGTCAGCTCCCCAGGAAGTGCTCGCCGCGTGGCTGCGATGGATTCTTTCGCAGCAGGAGATGGAGAGACTGTTCTCGAAAGACGTGAGTGAAAATGGAGTGGGGTGCTGGAACAGGCTGATGCGTGGATGATGATCTGCCTTAGAGCCCGGAACTAATCAGAGTGAGGCCCCCCCAAGGAAAAGGGGAACTGACTGAAGCTGGTGAAAGACCCTTTATTTCCTCCAGCACTTATTTGTCGTCTCTTCGGAACCGATTTAATTCTGAGATTCAGGCTCCGGGAGGGGCCTGGCTGGGGGCGCAGAGTGTTCAGGTTTGGCGAGGGCACGGAGATCTCTGTTGGGATCCTGGTGGCCTAAACAGATGACTATTAATCATGATGTGACTGATGGGCAGCCGCAAACTATTGGTGGTGGCGTTTGAATATCTGAATGTACTGAGCTTCCCTGTCTTGGGGAGGTTGGGAGGTAAAACAATGGAATCAAGGCCAGCAGGGAAGGAGCTGAGGTCGGATGCCGAGATCTGAGGGTTTTTCTCTCTCTCTTTTTTTTTTTCAAAGAGCTCGAACTGGCTCTACCTGAGCTGGGCAGGCTGAGGTTGGGGAGCTGTGGGAAGGGGGTCACAGTGCAGGGGCGCCGTTAGGAGGCGGTTGAGCAGAGGCCTGGGAGTGCGGAGCGGGGGGGGGGGGGGGGGATGGAGGGCACCTGGGGCAGTGTTGTGATGGGGGGTGGGGTTGCAGGGGGAGCCTCCTTGGGGGGGTGCTTGTGCTAGGTGGTGTGACCGGAGAGGGGCGGGGTGCTCTTGCTGACCTTCCCCAAGCTTGTGGGGGGGCAAAGTGGGTGCTGGAGGATGGTGGGGGCAAGGAGGAGGTAGGCCTGGGCCAGACTGTTCAGGTGTGGCCTTCCTGTGGGTCCAGGACAGAGGTTTGGGGGCCTTAGCTGGAGATTGGAAGGACAGGGGCCGGCCAGAGGAGGGGAACAGGGCTGTGTCCAAGGTGTGGCCTGGGGGGGTGGGGCTCCCGCGGGGTTTGGGGCCCAATGGCCAGACCGTCCCCCAACGCTTCCAGCTCCCCACTGTGTGACTTGTCACTGGTTGTTGCCCCCGGTTGTCCTTCAGGTAGAGAAAGCGGAAGGCCAGCAGGGTGGGGAGTGGCCTGTACCTAGAGGGCTCCCTTCCAGACTCCGGCCTTTTTTTTTTTTGGGTGGAGTTCCCCAGGGAGCTGTCCTTGGCCTGCAGGCTGTGTCTGGCCCTGAGGGGTCCACTGGGAGGAATTAGCAGGGGATGGAGATTACCTGGGCTGCCCTGCAGGCCTGGCCTTGCCTTCCGGTTTCTCCTTGAAGGACAAAACCGTTGGGGGAAAGGGAGACTTGCAGCCCCGATAAGAAACTAAGGGTACCACTGGCAGTCGAGCTGGGGTGTGGAGCCCTGGAGAGGAGAGAGGGTCCCGAGGCCACGGAGGGCCCAGTAAGAGTGCACACTGCGGGGGTGGGGGAGTGGGGGGGTCGGGGGTGAAAGGGGAGGGGCCTTGGAAGCAACTAGGGTCTCCGGAAATGAATCCCAGAGAGAATCTGTCTGCACAGAGGAGGGATGGAGGTAGCATGTGGCTGAGACTTAAAACCTCTTCACCAGGCTCTTGGGTGAGGATGCAAATTAGAGCCAGGAGAAGTTTCTCTGAAACAGATC